GTAGGGAAAGAGCGAATATAAAGATAGGAGACGAAAAATTAGAAGAAGTGGCTGATTTTAGATACCTAGGAAGTCAGATAAGTGAGGATGGAAGGAGTAGTAGGGATATAAAGCAGAGGATAGCGCAGGGTCGTGTCGCCTTTAATAAAATGAAGTCACTTCTATGCTCGCGAACGATTAATTTAGAAATTCGGAAAAAAAAAAAATGTTAAAGGTGTATATTTGGAGCGCGACGTTGTACGGGTGCGAAGCATGGTCAGTGGGCGCGACGGAAAAGAAAAGGTTAGAAGCTTTCGAAATGTGGTGTTATAGGTGAATGATGAGGATATCGTGGATGGAGATGGTTAGAAATGGAGAGGTATTAGAAAGAATAGGAGACCAGAGGATTCTATGGAAGTCAAGAAATAGGCGAGATAGATTAGTAGGACACCTTCTGAGGCATAAAGGTCTAATCAGAGACATATTAGACGCAGAAACGGGAGTTAGGAGGGGTAGAGGTAGATCTAGATTAGATTACTAGTTAAGGACGTGGGTTGTTCTACGTTTAGGGAAATGCGAAGAATAGGTCAGGATGGAGGTGCGTGTCCAACCAGTCTCAACTGAGAGTGGTAAAACATTATCTATACCTATGTACAAACAAAACAAAAGTTACTACCTGTTCAAGTTTTGGAGTGCGTTTTTATTAGTGGAATTTACATCTACCTTCCGATGGCGACGAGATCGGTGGAGGCTATATTATGTTACGTTTGCCTTGCCTATCGTGTCTTGCGCTGGATTTATGGTAACGAGCGTGTCTACTGTCCTTTTTTTTTTATTTTTGTATTAGCGAACACAAACATTTTTCAGGGATCTCTCTCTCGATCTCCATCTCTCTCAGTTGTAGAGTTGCGTTGCTACATACATATAGTAGTATTCACGTTCACGTTTTCTTTTATTTCTTTTGTTTCAACTCTTACTTTTTATTTTGTCATCATGATGCTGTTAGGTTTGGTACCCTGTATGTATGCATGCACACTGTTACCGTTCTTCTTCTGGTTTTCGATCTTGATTGAGTTAGCCTAATTAACGAGCGGGAATAATAAGGAGGTGGTGGAGGTATGTGTATCGTGGCGTTCAAGGTTGGCGAAAATCAATTATGCTAACGAACGGGTTCCTCCCCGACCGCGGTCCTACATACACATATGTATGTATAAGTATTTGCAGTCTGCGTGTGCTCTCACTTGACTCCGTCGTAGGACTAACTAGCATTGTTGATCGAACTTGTTCGATAACTGCCTGATGGCATGAATAAGGACGGTGAAATTAAATCTTAAGATGACGCCTATATGTATATTACTTGCAATTAGTGTAATGATGTTTGCGTCTTGAAAATATTCACAGCTTTTACTTTACGTTACTGGATGTCGAGGATAGGATTTTTTCCTTGTTACAAAATTTGATAAATGGCAGGATTTTAAGAAACAAATAGATACTGTAAAATTTGATTGTATTAATGAGTTAGTGCTATTTGCGAACAAATGAGATTTAGTGCCACTTGCGAACAGCAATAAGTAGCCTTGGGTTGACTTGGAAATTATAGTTTCATTTGCGAACAGACAGTAAGTTATTTAGCCTCTGTTATATAGGGGTTCCATCTATTCGGAATATATCTTTAGTATAGGTACATCATTCTCCCGTGCTCGTTTTTTTGCCGAAAACAATCTTTTCTTTACTTCAATAAGAGCCATATCCGGCTTACAAGCATGTGGTGT